TTTTAACTGTGATATTCGTCATCGGCGTACCCGAATATATATATTTTGATAAAGCTGAAGCTGGAAATAAGAAAAAAAACATCTCGATATTCCTCAGAGGGATTGAGAAGAGAAATTTTTTCAAAAATTCTGACAATGCAGTTTTGTTCAAAATCTTTTGCCGATCACTCCGATATATAAATTGTAAAATGTACGTTGTAGTTAATCGAAAGATTTGGCCCCAAAAAATTAGTGGAACAGACGTTATCGATAACCTCGACTGTCGTGCCAACGTTTGTTTTTATGTCGAAAAAAAATCAGAAGTCTAAGGAAAACTTAATTTTACACAAATTACCGACTTTTTTTTCTTGTTTCAATTAAAGCTTTGAAGTTGTATGACACAAAGGGCTCCTAAAACTCAGCAGCTTACGCTAAATTAGATGGTTAACATAATCACGAGATCAAAAAATTTAAAAAATCCCAAGAAAATATAGTAAGGTGTCAGAACTTCAAACTTGCAGAGCTTTTCGTTCGTTCAGTTTTTACACATGGTTCAATAGAGCTTTTTCTACCAAAAACCATTCCGATACGATCTACATCGATTGAGTAACCAATTTCAACCAATCAGAGGGCGTAGCGCTGGAACAGATCAGCACAGAATCTTATAAATAGTTCAACGTGGTGCGGAATTGGCTATTCTATCGATGGAGATCGTGTCAGAATGGTGTTGAGTAGTAAAAAATTTCAAAAGGTTTTTGGAAGACCCAGTTTTCCAGAAATCCTCTCGAAAGCTTCCGGAGTTCTCAAAAGTTTTCTCATTAGGATCTGCGATGTTTCTACCCCTCCATCCAAATTTTTATTGAATTTGAGTGAATTATTGAACTGCCCGAATCGAGGCAAAATGCACAGGTTCCACCAAAAAAGGCTCTACACTGTAATTTGGAATTAATTTCTAGTTTATAGAAAATCGATCTGGAAAATCGTGGAACTTCTTCTGATATTTATTAAATGCCCGTAGATTTTCTGACTTTTTAGAAATTCGCGATTTTCTATTTTCTAGAAAATCGATTCGATTTTCTATAAATTGAATTTTCATTTTATTCAGAAAATCGCCATAGAATTTCCAAAAATATCAAAATTCGGCGTCGATTTTATAAATACTGGAAATTCGAGTTTGATTTTCTAAAATGTTGGAAAATCAATCGATTTTCTATAAATAATTCCCAAGATTCTTGAAATTCGAAATCGATTTTCTAAAATGCAAGGAGTCATTTTGTTAACCTTAACTTTGACAATGGTATATGTATGGCTGTAATCGACTAATGAACGTCTGAATGGTTCTCAACGTTTTCTAGAATCAGTAAGTTTAGAGAAGTTAAAATATCTGTTAAGTGAGCACGAGATAAGGTTAGAGTAAGATCTAAATAATAATCACAAAATGAACAGACACTGTTTGACCTTATCATCTTTGTACCAATCAAAACACAAAACGCAAAACGCTTTAAATTTCTTAAAATGAGTATGTTCATTGCTTTCCCAATTTAAAATAAGTGCCGATGATGGACTTTTGGAAAAGTAATGAACTATAGCTTTATAAAAGAATTGCAAATACTAGCTTTATCCTCTGTGCTCAGGCCTTGAAACAAGGAGCTGTCTCGCAAAAGCTAGTTAATTTCTTTTGAGAGTACATTATTTCTCCATGAATAGAACTATAGAGTTATAGAGCAGTCGTCGTCACTTTTTTCCAGAACTGCTAAGTTATGTGTCAAGCAAATTTTGTCTTTTTTTTTATTTCTAGCATATTCCAAGTTGACTGAATAATTTTTCTTTTGTTGTTTCCTACCTTTTCTAATAAATAAGGAAGTAAATAAACAAAGCATCTTTCAAAAGATAAATAATAAACACCAACACTTGAGAGCATTCTTAACCTAGAAGTCCGTCAGATTTACGCAATCCCAGAGAAGCTTTTTCTTTTGCCATTTAATGTTTCAAGCCTCTGCCTCTCGGAGTATGCTAGAATATCTAACACGACATCATATAATTACACAAAAGCCTAAAAAATTTGTCGGGTTCAGTTTTTCCCGGGTTCGATGTTTCCGGTACCAAAGTGTCAAGTTTCATCATTCGTTTACATCGGTCAATATTTGGCATGTTCTGAGTCCCAACGTGATTAACTCCGAAAACAATCGAACCCGGGTAGTTCGGGCTCGGTCGTTTCTGGCCTGAAAGCCTGCCTACTATCTACCAAAGTGAGCGAGCGACTGAGCCTGACATTTTGGTACCGGGAATGACCGAGCCCGAGAAACCGAACCTGGGACTCCCGGTCTGTGTTCGGGTTCGGTGCATACCTAGTCGTAAGAAGCTTGGAATTATCTTAGAAACTCACTATTCCTTGAATTTCTGCAATATACTTTGGACTTATCTCCACATCTGAAATTTTGTTGAGAGTCTTTCACCCTTATAGAAATTGTATCTGATTTGTGAGATTATCCTTGTTATGCAGATACCACAATTTCCATTCTGACCTGATGAGACCTTTAGGCAAGGTCGAAACGCGTCGTCAGTAGCTTGGAATCTTTCTCTGAAACTCACCCTCACCCTCACGCTCAAGTGTTCCCTCATTTGATGCTCCCCTCACCCTCATTTAGTACTCTCTTCTCACGCTCATTTAGTCGAATAGTTGAAACGAGTTGTCGACTCGAGCTGACTTTTCGACTTCTACATGTACGACTAATTCGAAAGAGCGAATTGTCGCCTGAAAAAAGCTATTGAAAATTGACTACTCCGTCAAGTAGTCAAGATTTCTCCTGTTCGTACTCATTTTGTTCATTGATCCTTATCTTTATTGAACTAAAAACCTTCGATAAGTGTTTATATTTCCAGTTAATAGCTCACTCTCATTCCCAAGCGAAACAAGTTCTTCGGACAGATAAAGGAAACATCAGGACGTGAGCAAGATATAAGAGAGTACAAAGAGAATCTTCCTGGAAATGAGGTTTTTTGATCATTTTTGAATAAATCATAATAATAGAATTCAATTGGAAAGTGCCAATACTGTGATGTATCTATCTCCTCTCCAGTTCGAAATAAAACTGTTTAGAAATGTGTCGTTCATTTTGACTACTGATTGAAATGGTATGTTATCGTCGCACATGGTATCGTATAGGGCCGTCGACGATCGTCAATGGTGGTGATCACTAATGCTCTGAAAGCTTGTTCAGGACCGCGAACTGAAATCAAATTGGCAATATCAGCCTCAACTCTTTTTACGTCTGGATGATCTGAGTTGTAATTGACTCGAAAGATTGATAGACTTTCATGAAGATAACGAGACGCTGCTGACCGATCATGCATGCAGCGATAATATATACCAATATTCCTCAAACTGTTCGCAATTTTGATATGTTCAGACGACAATGTTTCACGGTGTAGATCCAGTGCTTGCAATTCGTATCGCAGAGCATCTTCCATCCTTTCGCGTTTCCAATATAAGCAACTAATTGCTGAAAGACAATAAGAAGCTAGTCCGTGATCAAGTGAGGTTGATTGTTCGAAGATTGTCAGAGCTTGTTTGTAGTTAGTGAATGCTTCGTTGGGATTTCCCTCCTTCAGAACATCAGCCATGCTAATCAATGTCCGAGCAATGCAAGAATGTGTCTCACCTAGACTACTCTGCTGATCATTCAGTTTCTTCCGACAAAAGTCCAAAGCTCTTTCACTCTCCCCCATCCTCTTGTAAATGTGAACAACCATCTCCAAATCTATCGAGCGATCAGGATGACCAGGTGGCAAACATTGTTCGTCCATGTCCAGTAGCTGTTGGTAATAATCCAATGCACAATCGAGCTCTCCCTTCTTCTCGTAAGCGTATCCAATGTAACCAAGGGACCGAGCGATATACGGGTGTGGAGCAGGTAACATACGTTGAAACATGGCAAGAGCATCAAACAGATAGTTGAAGACAGCGTCAAACTCCTCCTTATCAACGTGTATTAAACCGAGATATTCCGTTGCTACGGCTTTATGGATATGATCACCTGGATAATATTTTTCTCCAATGTCTAGCTCCTGTTTGAAACAAGCGAGTGCTTGATCGAACTTACATCTACTTCGATGAATGCGTCCAATACTGCCCAGAGAGCCCGCAAGCTGAGGATAATTGGATGGTCGTCGATTTTGACCGATCTCATATGATAAGTTGAAGTACTTCAAAGCAGCATTTAGATCACCTCTTCGATCGTATATAGTCCCCATCTGCAGGTAAACTGCTGCCATGTCTTCGTGATCAGATGGAAGTGATTTTATTAGCATCTGGAAATATTTCTCGGCCCGATTCATTTGGGCTAATTCCTTGGTTAGTAGACGACCGAAATAGATAATCGGCGGATATTCATTCAAGCGTTGTTTGATCGATACGATATATTCCCGCACTTTTTCTGTCCCTTCATCTGTCCCCATCAACTTCACTGTCCAGATCTTTCGTGCTGAATCAAAAGTGACTGATTCGATTTTGAAGAGAGAGTTGAGTGTGAAGAGAACTTCTTCTTCGTCTTCCATTCGCGACTTTTTTCCCACATCAGCAAAGACCACCGTTCTCATCGAAGGATTCACTTCAATTTCAAAGAGAACGGCTTGAAAAATAGCGTGCGGAATACTTTCTCCAGCAAATGCAAGGGCAACATCGATGTTTCGAGAAGTAGATAAGAATCCATTGATTGAAATAATCTTCCCGTTGTTTTCTTTCAATCTTTCCAGTTCGTCGCTGGGAATTTGTGTTCCACGAAAAGTAGTCAGAGTGGCCTTGTTTTTCCATTGCAAGCTTTCCCGTTCGAGCGCGGCACACAGATCGATGATGAAGAACCGGAAAGTGTGCAGTAGTTCAATATCTTCAACGCGCAATGCTTTATTCAATAATTTGTAGATAAAGCATTCATCCGTATACCACTCGATCGCCTTGTCACTCGTGTAACTTACCCGAAACTGCTCGATCTTTTTTAATTGTTTTTTGTTATTTCGGTAATAGTTACGACATATACTAAGCATTTCCTCTTTGGACTGTTGATCTTGTGGCATTTGTTTGAGCACAAAGAGTAACATCTGATGCCAGATGAACGCGGCTGATTCTTGAGAGAGATCTCGTCCTAGTCGTTGTTTCTGATCAAAGAGACTGAATGCCAAGGTTTGTTTTTCGACCAGATCGAGAGTCTCTTGTATCGACTCGAATAAAGGATCTTGCTCAGTAAAGACACCGACGACTTTGTCAGAGTGATTCATCAATGCTTCATCATACTCACAATGAACACGAAATATAAAAATAGCAACGAGAGGTCGATGTGAGGTGATTTTTGGAAGGACACTCTGAGCCAAGGCGCCCGAAACAATAAGAAGGACTCGTTCGTCTTTGATGGATTTGATCAGGTTAACACAGCGATCGACATTGGTGTAGAACTGGGCCGCTGGATTTAGTTCAAGTAGCAGCAAGCGAGTGCGTAGACAGTCCGATGAATCATCAAGATGTGCATCGAGCCAGACTAACAGTATATCTTCTTTGTTTGCAGTAACCTCGTGGGGTAGAAGATTTTCTCGGCGCTCCTCTCTTCCTAAAGTGTTCGTATCCATCCCAACTAATCGGATGTTTCTTTCTACAAATACTGTCCAAAGAATCACAGCGATCCGATTAAATAGGAAAAAATGACGTGTGAGAGCGAGGTATTACTTCCAACAATATAGAATGAAAATGGCGTACTTCCGAGTGTGCCTATCGATTGGGTCTCTGTCAGTCGTATTCAAGTGAGTCTGATGGAAATAGGCACATGCCCAAGCTGAAAAAGTTGGATTTTTCGAAGAAGAACGAGCTGATAAGCACTCTTTGAATAATCAATCGCTTTGATACTTTTCTTTTTTCGTTCTTTCGTAAGTTGTCACTCAGCTACCCTCTTGTTCCTATGCAAATACTTGGTCGATCAAATACGCCTTTAATCCACTCCTGCTGCTTCTCAATGCATCTAGTTCCGTGATAGAAATAGCCGTATTTCGAATAATTTTGCAAGAGAAAATACTTCTCTCGTCCAATAAAATTGCCACGCCGAATATAGTCAAGTTGAACGAAGTTGATTGTCGTTGTGTAGATGGAATTATTTTCGTTTGTTATCATCCAACATTTAAACGTCTTTCCTTGTATACTGGAAGTTTCTTCCTCTGCTAACGTCGTCTGTCTTCAGCTGATAAACATACACTGAAATTTAATAGGATTATATTTGCAGACTTGATCTGGTCTCATACAAACGCACAATGAAAAGGGTGAATACTTTACTGATGATAGGGTTTATACTATTATTGTTGCATTGAAATTAACGAAAGCTATCCATGTCACTAAAAATTTTAGGAAATCCTCCTAAAAAGACTTCAGAAAGCACGACAATAGCGAGAAAATAGATTAAACTATTTTCGATGATGTCATGAATTCATATGCTACTGAAACTAAATTTTTGTATTTTTGTTCATTTCTTGGTTGTTTTATAATTATTTCATTTGGGATTTCAGTTCACAGTTATTTATGTTCCAAACACCTCTTTAGTGCAAATATAGTCAATGAATCTTTGGATAATGGAAGGAGGATTTGTTGCCACACGCATAAAACCAGTGATTTTCCCAGAGGGGAGGACGGGAAGGCGTCGCCTCCCCGAAATTTACAACTTTTTAAAAGAGAAGTCTACAGTTGCCTCCTGTGAGGTTCTACTTTCCCGGCTAGTGCACCAATTGTGAGGTTCTATTCACTCACTTCTCATGTTTATTTAAGAAAGTGAACGGCTATATATAGTACACAAGTTGAACAACAGTTATGTAAGAGTTGCGCAGGAATTGCGCAATAACAGAAAGAGTTGGGAAAACCACAGCATGACACAGGTATTGCGCAAGAACAGAAAGAAAGGAAAAGAAGAAGAAAACACAGTCTTATGAGCTGCCAGGAATGGCGGATCATAACACCTCCCAGAAGCTTCAATCTTGCCTCCCCGGAGTTTCAAACCGCCACCCCGGAGAAAAAATCCTAGATAAAACACTGCATAAAACCAATTGTTTGAGTTGGAGATGTTCCTAACTACGAACCGAAATCTCAAATGAAACATAAAACAACCAAGAAATCAATAAAATACCAAAATTTGGTTTCAATAGTATATGAAGAAACTTTTCGAACCGCAATACTACGGAGAAATAATATATATCCTCGGGGAAAAAAATAGTTGCAGTCTGTATTTTGGACATATTTCAACTATGAAAAGACATTTTTTTAAAGTAATTACATATTCTGAAAGCCCGTGGAGTTTTCTATCACTCTCTATACATGCATTTTCATTTGCACTTATGCATTATCAAAACAATTGAGTACAGTGAAGGCACACTCATGTCCAGATTCTCACAGACTTGATTTTTTCACTGTCATCAAAATTAGTTTTTCAAATTTTTCATTACTATAGAATTACTTTTTTAAAAAAGCAATTATATATTCCCTAGACTGCTAAGTCTAGGGTCTAGAATCAAGAATGTCTGTCTGTCTGTCTGTAAGTAAGTAAGTTTCTGCGTGTAACAAGTTTTTAAAACCGATTTTCTGCCGTTGCTATTTTTTTTCGTCAAAATAATGGTTTTATGACACATCATAAATTTATGAAACATTTTTCTTGATAGTGATCCTTAAAACGATCACATACCATGTTAGATTGTTTTAATTCGATCGAGATATGGTTTATGGGATGATTTTTGCGACTAAATCGATATAGATAGAGTGGTTCAAGTGATTTTTTTCTATAGGCTGAAAGACTAGGGTCTAGAATCGAGAATGTCTGTCTGTCTCTGTGTGACATTTTGGCGTTAATTACCATATTCTTGGGATTGAGTTTTTTTTCTCCTCTTTCTTGGCGTTAAATTCCATATTTTGTGAAACACGATTACTAATGAGTGTCAAAGTCAAGGGGGAACAAGCGGATTTCGAGATTGCCACGCCGATCGGGATTTTTTTTTCGGGATTTTTTCCGATTTGTTCGAATTTTTCGGCATTTTCGGATTCTGGATTTTTTTCGGACTTCGGAACTTTTTTTGGATTAATTGGGTTTTTCGGAATTTTTCGAGCTTTCGGACATTTCGGGATATTTTTCGGATTTTCTTAGATTATTCGGGATTTTTTGGATTATTCGGGTTTTTTTTCGGATTTTCGGATTTTTGGGGATTTTTAACAGGTTATTTTGGATTCAAATCTGAAAAAAATCCGCTGGTTCCACCTGGGTTAAAATATGGAGAGAAAAAAGAGTCATCCATCTTGCACCCCCAAATCGTGAGAAGCATTTCAGCATGCTGGTATTTAGGCCGCATCACAGATCAGGACAGACATGTCGCTTGCCTTTTTGGATTTTTAGACCACGGAATTTATATTGAAAAAACTTATTAAGTTCTTAAGTGCATCATATGCATTTGTTTCTGAAAACTTAATTCCAACCATCACTTTTCAGTCTGGGGACCAAGTGAATCGCAAGGCGATGAACGTTACTTGTTCTGATAGAGCTTGAAATTCTCTATCACTCTGTATATTTACCTATTTTCTTGCGGTCATATATTGAAAAATAACTTGGGTGCAGTGAACGTACCCACAACTGGCAAGTACCAAAAATTCGCATTTTTTTCGCTACTTAAATTCAAGATAAAATATTAATATATAGGGTGATATAGAATTTCAAGCGCTATCAGAATGTATAATTTCTTTTGTAAAAATTTATCCCTATAGGAATAATAATTTGAGAAAGAAAATAAAAAAGTAGCGAAAAAATGCGGATTTTTGGTATTTGTAAATTGAGGGTACGTTCACAGTACTCAAATTATTTTTCAACGAATAAATATAAGGCAATAGATAAATATATGGGATGGTAGAGAATTTCAAGCTATATCAGAATATATAATTACGTTTTTAGAAAGGTATTTCTAGAGTGATGAAAAATTTTAAAAACTAGTTGGGGAGACAAAATCCAGTCTGTGGGAATCTGGACATGAGGACGCCTTTTCATTGCACTCATTTTTTTTGGTAATACATATGTGCAAACGAAAATGCATATATAGAGGGTGATAGAAAACTCCAGGGGCTTTCAGAATATGTAATTACTTTTAAAAAAATGTCTTTTCATAGTTGAAATATGTCCAAAATACAGACTGCAACCATTTTTTTCCTCGAGGATATAGCATATAAGAATAAGTTTTTCGAACATATAGTCACTACAATTTTTTGTGTGCAAATGCCTGCTTATCTCCGTAAACTAGTGGCGAAGCCAGTGGTGGACCAGTGGGGCCTCAGCCCCCTCTAGGATGAAAACTATCTAGCATTAAGATGGAAGAGTATACTTATTTGCAACCTTAAAACTGAAGCTCAGGTCCTTCTAGAATTTTTTCTGGCTCCGCCACTCAGGCGCGCAAATACTGGGGGGTGGGGGTGTACCCCCACCCAATGTTGGAAATTTAGCGTTTGTTTTGCTCACCGGTAGCGATAAAATGTCTGTTTTCGCCTAAAATTTTCGCTTCCGCCCCCCCAGAGTTTTGCTCCCGGACACCAAAAAATCGCTCAACCGCTCAAAAAAATGTTTACTCCCCCTAATGTTTGGACCCTACTTGCGCCCCTGCCGCCACTATCATAAATGATTGTATTTCAGGAAAAAACCTAATTTTCACTGAGAAAAACGACTTATTTTGGAGAAGAATGTTCTAAAATCTTTTGACTTATACATGATTATTTACCTTTTTAAGCAGTTGTGTTGTACAGATATATGTAAATGAAGGATTTGAAAATTTTTAATGAAATGTTTATCAATTGCGAACTCTTTTTATACGATGAAAAAAGGAAAAAAACAAATGATTCATCGATTTCATTTTTATGCGTTCCTGCGTTTGTAACCGTCTATTAATGCTGTCAACAACTGCAAAATCATTGTGCATGTATTTAGAGCGCTTCCAGTATGCACAATAAACAAAAACAAAATTGTTCTTTGTCTTTTAAATATTATTGAGTATAAAACTGCAACAAAAATCATCTAGATTTTTAACAAAAATCAGTGTAAGGTTTA